TACAAAATATCTTCATGGAACATGATCTTTACTTAATATCCTAATGATTTTTGGCATAAAAGAGAAATGTATAATTGTGACCCATACAATGTATTGTTGGCTATTGCTACAAATATCCCCCAGCGACTCAACACTGCTTCTGTGCTGCAGGGACACATATATAAGCTTTTTTTTAACCAGCTGTGAATTTCTGTCTCTGTTTGGATGCAGAAAAGGAGGGAACATCTGCTCATATTTGCATTCTCTCCTGCCTCTGATCATAATTCTGATCAAGAAATCAGGATCAGGCATCAACTAATGTCACACGTGTGAAAATAGGCTGAGAAGTCGATGTAATGTGGCTCAGATTCGGACCGGAATCGTGTGTTTGTGGTGTTTTTCTGCTACGAAAATGCTACGAAACGCATCGTATTTAGAAAGAAAGTGTGACGTGAAACAGCAAAGCAGACACTATTTTTGGAAGCAGCAGCCAAAATGAGTTCGAAACTTGTATTGATTTCATTCATATCACGTAATGCTCTGTGATCAGTGATTTCATCCGTACATTTACAGTAGAACAAACTTAGCATATCCTGACATTACTTTGAAAATAATATTTTCTAAATTAATTTAATGGTAGGCAATATTATTTTAAAACTTACAATATGAATTTAAAATATTTAAAATGTATGCAGTCAGTGTGTCATCCTGAATTTTAGCAAAACTACTGCACACTCAACTCGTCTGATTTGGTGTTAATTGATTTCTGTGAACTACGTTATATAGATACAATGTTACAGCAGTTATTTGGCCACATAATAGCTAACTAGGGATATAACGATATCAAAATCTCACGATACGATACTTATTGCGATATTTTAAAATAAAAAAAGACACATGAAGAATCAGGGGGGGGGGGGGGCTTTAAGGGGTTAAAAATTGTGAATTTCTGTCTCTGTTTGGATGCAGAAAAGGAGGGAACATCTGCTCATATTTGCATTCTCTCCTGCCTCTGATCATAATTCTGATCAAGAAATCAGGATCAGGCATCAACTAATGTCACACGTGTGAAAATAGGCTGAGAAGTCGATGTAATGTGGCTCAGATTCGGACCGGAATCGTGTGTTTGTGGTGTTTTTCTGCTGATTAATGGAAAATACAAGACTAATTCACCAGATAAATGATTCTCAAAAGCGAAAATGCTACGAAATGCATCATATCCTTACATCCCTATAGCTAACATAATCATGTGTGTAACATGGATTTTAAAGCCATTCTTCAGATGCTCTGAGTCTGGGAAGTGTGTTATTGTGTGATGGTAAGTGATTGTCTGTTGTATAGTGCTTTCGGTTTGAGTTCGTCTGATACTGTGCCAAAGCATAATGCCCCAAAACACTACTTTAAACACCTTTTATGTTAGAATAAGAAGTTTAAATAGATTTTAAAACTGCCCGGAAGACCTATCGTTTCATATCGTCATGTGACCACGATAATATCGCGATATTAATAATATCCTTACATCCCTATAGCTAACATAATCATGTGTGTAACATGGATTTTAAAGCCATTCTTCAGATGCTCTGAGTCTGGGAAGTGTGTTATTGTGTGATGGTAAGTGATTGTCTGTTGTGTCCGATATTAATAATATCCTTACATCCCTATAGCTAACATAATCATGTGTGTAACATGGATTTTAAAGCCATTCTTCAGATGCTCTGAGTCTGGGAAGTGTGTTATTGTGTGATGGTAAGTGATTGTCTGTTGTGTCTCCTGAAGAACCGTCTGGTGCGTCTGGTGTGCGTCTTCCTCCAGTCCCTCATCAGGAATAAGATCATTAATGTTCAGGATCTGTTCATCGAGGTGCAGGCCTTCTGCATCGAGTTCAGCCGAATCCGTGAGGCCGCCGGTCTCTTCCGCCTCCTCAAGACTCTGGATAACGGAGAGATGCCAGCCGAGGGCAAGACGGCCAAATGAGCTCAAGGACTAAAGCTGAGTCTCTCCTCTATTAAAGCACACGAGTTCAGCCTTTCAGCGCACAGAAGACGCCAGACTCAACGGCGTACGAACTCCATCTGTTTTCTGTTCTTACATGTACAACATGCTCTGCTATTTTGATCCCAAACGCCATATTGTTTTGTCCATTAAAGTGATGGTTACTTGTACGCTCTCAGACGACGTGCTTCAGTTTGTGTGTCTGGAAACTCCTCGGCTTCAGCAAATGCATTTGTGATGAATTTAAAGTGGATTTATTTGGCTCAGTTTTACAGAAAGTCATAATGTTAATGTCTGTAATTTTCAGTGAGTTTATAACCGCTAAGGGCCGTTGTTAGGCACGACGCGAACTGGTTATAAATTCACTGTAAGCCACGGCTTCACGGGGGTTACTGCTTTTATAAAACGGTTATTCCATACACGTAGTAAAGTTTCACAAAATAAAGCAGAGCAAATAAAGAGTAATGATATTAATAAACACAGTATTCTTCCACCAAACAATGTAGCTCCTCAGAAACAGTTGTGGTTGCTACAAAGTGGTTGCCGAGCAACACACAAACGTAAACAAAGGTGTGTGTTACTTTGTAGCGTCATTTACAACAGCTTCGAACGCGGCTCAGCCAATCAGAGTCAAGCACCGGAACTCTCCGCTTTATAAATGGCCGCGAGAAACGGCGTTATAAAAATGTATTCAACAGTAATAATATGTGAAGTATAAAAGTCCATAAAAAACATTGGTATGGTATTAGTAGAGTAAATGGTTCAAAATTAGGGTTTTGTTAGTCCATTACAAATATTAGCAATCTTACATGTTAGTTTTACGTCTTCATAGAAGGCAGTGGCTATTTGCAGTGTAAGTAGCATATTTTAGATGCTGTTTACACTAATTAATAACAGACGTATTTTATGGATGCACTATTTACACTTAGTGAAAATAGAAATATATTCAATAGTGGTTAGATATTATTTATAGACTATAAATAGTGGCAGATGCTGTTCAGTTTTGTTGTACATTAGCAGGATGCAATAGTAATGTAGAGTGTAAATGATTATATTTATTAAAAAATATTAATGGATGCCATTATTGAGACAATAAAGCCCTCCATAGACCTGGGCTATACCCCTAATCCTGATATAGAAACTACAAGGGTTCATGAAAATGTGTTTGGATTTCGACCCTGCATTAAATCCCTCGGCTCATTCAACTGTATCGGCGCTTAAAAAAAGAAGAAGCACCGTATTTATTAATGCTCACGCATTAAAAAGTAGCAAATGCATATGTTTGTGTGCAAGCATAGGACCATTTGTGTTGTGTTTTGCTAATTGCGTTGTGTTGTGCATTACTGGGCCACCGTAGTTTAAAGCTGGGTGAGAGGATAATTTACATTTGGAGACAATATAAACCATCAGCCTAATGAGATTTACTGGTAACATTTTACCAATAACAATAAGGTTCCATTTGTTAAGAGTTATATGCATTAGTTAACATGAACTAACAAAGACAAATATAAAGCCAAAAAGAAAAATTAACTATAAATGTGCTCATCCTCCGTTAATCCGAGATGAGTGTGTTTCTTCATCAGGTTTGTAGAAATGTAGCACTGCATCAGTGCCTCACTGCAAGTGAATGGGAGCCGTCAGAATGAGAGTCCAAACAGCTGATAAAAACATCACAGTAATCCACAGCACTCCAGTCCATCAGTGAACATCTGGAGAAGACAAAAGCTGAAACATTTTCCACTTTTCACTGGAGGAAGCGTTATTATGGATTATGGACTCTATGTATTTTAGTTTAAAACGTCTTAATGCTGGATGTGTTTCAGCTTTTGTCTTCTCCAGATGTTCACTGATGGACTGGAGTGCTGTGGATTATTGTGATGTTTTTATCAGCTCTCGTTCTGACGGCACCCATCCACCGCAGAGCATCCATTGGTAATAATAGATCATTAAAATCAAAGTTGTATCTGTTAATTTTATTCAATGGACCTGAGCTAACAACGAACAGTTAGTTTGTTAGTTGTTGCATTAACTAATAGGATCTTATTGTAAAATGTTACCTAATAGTATGTTAGTAGTATGAATCGTACGAAACGAGCACAAACACTTGAGTTAAAAAAAGTTTTTTATTTGCACATTCACTTCCATTCGAACATGTACATCGGATTCAGAGACTGACCGTGTGTTTATTAACATTTGTAGGCTGAAATATATGAACTACAAAAGCAAAACCGGGCTGACTTTGTATTCCAAATACGCGCACAGTGCTCAAAGACATAAACAGACATGACCTTTGACCTTTGCTTTAACCCCGGTTAATGAAGACAAGTGCATCATTCAGGGTTTCAGTGAATTTTCATGCCATTTATAGATATTTTGAATTAACTGATTTATTTATTATTCATTTATTATTTGAGTGTCAAGAACTGTTTATTTATATTCTCTATAGAACTTCCTATCATGTTCATGATATCTGCATGATGGTGGGAACCCAATAACTGAGCAACAACTTTAAAACATGAATGAAAAATAAAAGCAGGCGTAAAGTCCTGCGCTTCTAGATTCGTCTCATTCCTCGAGCCATGAGGCAGGCGAACACCGTCATCACCATCTTGGGCTTGACCTCCACCAGATCCTCCGGCAGCGCATACACTCGCGCGCCGATCTTCCTCGCCATAGAGATCGCGTACCTGAGAACACATCGGTGAGTTTGACATGCTGTTTTAGTTTGAACAGAGTTTGAACAGTTCTGGGTTCAGTAGAAGTTCAGTTCTGACTTTCTCACAATTCTGAGTTTATATCTCAATTCTGATTTTTCTCACAGTTCTGACATTTCTCGTAATTCTGACTTCTAATACTTATTACAAGTATTTTATTTTGCAGTTCTGAGTTTATATCTTGTAATTCTGAGTTTATATTTCACAATTCATATTTTTCTCGCAGTTCTGGGGGCTAGTGTACCAAATAAGCCAGGCTTATTTCAGTTAGTCTGACTTATTTTCACTTGATTTGGTTTCATAAAGCAAAGTTACCAAAGCTCAAGCTCAGTCACTGTGGCAACTTATGCTGGGAAACTAACCGGTTCCGGAGCAGGCTAACTGTCAGGCTAAGCTGAGCTCCTCTAACACTGACCGATAGGAACGCACTGATATTACGGCGCTGACTCTCTCACATACAATTATTTTACTTTATCAGTCCAAAAATAAAAGTATACAGAAAATGCAACTTAAATAAATAATAATAAAAAAAAAATATATATATATATATGCTACAACAAACTGTTGCTATTTAATGTATTGTGTCCAAGATTTAATGACTTTGTTTTAAGATATTTGAAAACATTTTAACATGCTGCTACTTGCGCATTCAGTTGATCAGCAGTTTCTAGCCATGCAGCCTTTCTCTCTGGTTTTATGACAGCTGTACTTTATGGTTATTAGTAGAGCATTAAAACATTACAATATAAAATTGCTCTTTAAAGCATTACAAACACTAAATTAAAAATAAAAATAAATAATATAAAACAGACTATATTTTATATGATAAGAGGAATACACATTAACTCATTTGAGCTAGTATGGCTGTATTAGGCTGCTTACATTTGATTTACAGTTACTGCTATCATAAAAATACACTTATATGTAGGATTAAAATTCTACATGTGTCACCTTTAATGTCCAACAACAAATATTTTAGCAGAATGCATATTTTATTCAGAATTATTGCGCTATTATTCTGCTCGTTCACTCGCAAAGCCTCGTCCTCTCCTCACAGCAAAATGGATATATTTGCATGACTTTCTAACATTTACAGATGAGAAATATACCTGTGACGTGTCAGTTATGCACTGAGGAAAACACAATGTCTCAAATGCATTAAACGGCACAAATATTCGCTGTTTGCCATTGTGGATCGATTTGATCCATGATCGACATTAAGGACTGCTTAAGAAGAATCATTCACATCAAATTATCCTGACTTATTGAACCTGGATCGAATTAGTGAGATTGCGTGAACTTAAATTGTCGTTTATGAAACCGCTTTAGTCCCGATTGATTTGTTAGGTTATTTAAGGTTTTGGAATTTATTCCCTGCTTTTCTTAGCAGGGAATACACTTTTTGTAATTTCTTAGACTTTCTTGTAATTCTGAGTTTATATCTTGCAGTTCTGACTTTCTTGTAATTCTGATTTTTCTCGCAGTTCTGACTTTTTTCTCTTAATTCTGACTTGTAATACGGAGTTTATATTTTGCAATTCAGACTTTCTTGTATTTCTGCGTTTATATCTTGCAATTCAGACTTTCTTGTATTTCTGCGTTTATATCTTGCAATTCAGACTTGTATTTCTGCGTTTATATCCCGCAATTCTGACTTTATTGTAATTCTGAGTTTATATCTTGCAATTCAGACTTTATTGTAATTCTGAGTTTATATCCCGCAATTCTGACTTTATTGTAATTCTGTGTTTATATCTCACAATTCAGTTTTTTCTCGTAATTCTGAGTTCATATTTCGCAATTTGACTTTTTTCTTGCAATTCTGACTTTCTCATAATACTGAGTTTGTATCTCGCAATTCTGACTTTTTCTTGCAATTCGAGTTTATATCTTGCAATTCAGACTTTTTTCTCACAATTTTGAGCTTATATCTCAATTCTGACTTTCATGTAATTCTGACTTTGAAGAAAATTGTAGACTTTTAAGATAATTTTTTTTCCTGAGTGTCCCATTACACCATAGTGCTGAACTAATTTTTAACTCAGAACATCTGTGTAATGTTCATTAATATGCTAACGAGGAGTGTGACTCTGACATACTTTGCGTTATTGAGTTTCTCTTCGTCTGTCAGGTCTTCTGCCTTGAGAAGGTCGTAGCGGATGGAGCCGGGCTGGATGGCGTCAATCAGGTCCAGGACCGGCATGCTGCTGCTTATGGATCCGTCCTGCAGAATCATAACAGAAGAGGTCAATTCTGATATGGACGGAACATGTGTTTTTCTTCCCGGTGAGCTGCTTACTTTAAAGCCGCTGATGGTGCCTTTGCCGGCCTGTGTGAGTGCGTCGTTAACCCAGATCACGATGGTTTCGTCGATGACCTTCTGCCCGTCGCCCAGATCCTCCAGGATGTTGAGTGTGTATCTGCAGACAGAAGATGAGCGAGACCTTCAGCAGGCGTGTGGATCTCAAGCGTAGGATCG